TACGGCTCTAGTATGACTGGAATAGGTTTCAAAATGAAATTTAAGCAAATTAATGTCCACGCTTTATTTAAAAAATAAAAACATTTGAAAAATGTGTATTTCGTTATTATACTGGATCAGGAGGGCTCTGCCGCAGAATATATGGCAGTGAACGTATTCATTTATTTTAAGGATTTTTTGCTTATTTGAACAGTACTTTTACGTGTTAGAGTCCCGCTGCAGCAATAATGGGTCGGCTCGACCGGTAGAGGATAACGCACTCAGAGAATACCAGCGTGAAACGGCAAAATAATTCTGCTGTGTTTCGTATGATACGTCTAGATAATCTCGGAGACCCTTTTTCTAGTAACAAGGCGTTCTATCTTAGTCCCAATGTATCTACACATTGATTTTTAATCAAAGGTCAGTGGAGCACAGTATTCACTTTTTACTCAATAAGTAATAAAGAAGTTATCTAATTTTGGCCTTAGATAATCTTGGCTTTGAAGCTTATTTAAGCTTATTTTTAAGCATATTTGGTTTTCTTAATGAAAATATAAGAAGTGTTAATATAGTATACATTTATAAAAGAAAAAAGGATCATACAGAATGTTGTGCTTCAGTCGATTTACGTAGAGTTTAGTGCTTGTTGCGAGAGCGTGATCCTCACTCGACCGTGTCGTGTCATAGCGTGGCTTTGACCATGTTTAAGTGAGTATAGAGTTTGCAGTCTCTTGTAAATTTGGTCAGTTCGTGTATTCGATTTAAAATTTATCTATCTATAATATCTTCTTTAAATTTCTTAAGAGCTGGTTTTTCAGTAGTCAAATATAAGTTATTAATATAAAATACAACAAAAATCGTTATAATAAAACAAAAAAAAAGAGCCGTGGTAGCTCAGATGGTTAGCGCTCGCTGTAAGCTTCACAGTACTCGAGCAACTCGGGCTCGATCCACGCCGGCACCAATGAAATTGTTAATTGCAATTTTAAGTGCTGACTTACCACGTGCTCGGCGGTGAAGGAAAACATCGTGAGGAAACCTGCATGTCTGAGAAATAAGAAAAAAAATATTTCGAAGACATGTGAAGTTCGCCAACAAGCATTGGGGCAGCGCGGTGGACATTTCCTTGCTCTAAAACCCTCTCAGAAATGAGAGGAGGCCTGTGCCCAGCAGGCGGACGTAAATAGGCCGCAACTTTACTTTACTTTACAACAAAAACAAGTTAATAATTAGTTGCAATAGTAAAATAACTGACATAGCCCAGCGGGTCAGTTAGCTGAAGTGGCAATGGGTCGGCCATACAGCTCGAAAAAACGAAAACCGATGAGTAAGAAAGGATTTCGAGTGGCAGGCCCGTACTGGCGCGTAGTGTTGTGCGACCCCCTATCAAATGGAGTTACAATCTGATGAAACACAAAGCTAGCGCGTTTCATCAGAATGTCGTCAGTAGCCTAATGACAGGGTGCGGATCGTGAACTCGAAAGGTCGTGGGTTCAAATCCGTCATTCGACTACTGTCGTGAACCATTTTTAACACAAGCATTTTAAGCTTACCAGAAGTGGTTAAAGGGCATACTAGTAATGTCTAATAGCATTACTAGTATTAAAAAAAATAAAAAAGCTAGTCAATGAAGGCAGGTGGCTCAGGGCCGTACTCTATAGTAATGTGTAGGGGAGGTCTATATAAGACAGTGGACATGTGATGGACTGTAGTACACACAAGTCACCAAAGTTTCATCATAATTTAATAATAGATTTCATCATAAATCATTACACAATATCATATTTTTCAAAGTCCTCTGCTGAACATAGTTCTTCCTCATAAGGGGGAGATTTGGCATTGTCAGGCGAGTTGGCAACCGCATTTTTTTTCATTATCTAGTTGTTGTCAGGAAGGCACTGCTGTCTATCTCTTGGTTTGTTTCCCTAAGTCGCCTCTCACGACACCCACGGGACAATATGGGGCTAGTAGATTCTTACACCACCAATAATTAAACAATATTAAACACAGCTTAATATTATCGTATATATCGACCTAGGGACCTTCAAGTAAAGATTATTTAAGATTACTCCTTTTTAAACGGCCGGCAACGCATCTGCAATTTTTCTGGTGTTGTAGTTGTTCATGGGTGGTAGTTACTTACTATCAGGTGAGCCGCATGCTCGTTTGCCCCCTCTTCAATAAAAATAAAAGCAAGAAAATAAAAAAATGAAAAGAGACGAACATTTTATACGTGGTAGAGCCATGTTGCAGCTATATTAATTGTATAGTTGTAGCACAAATGGATCGGCTCGACCGTTGAAGGACCACGCTCTCACAGAATACCAGTGTAAAAGAGCAGCTTAATGCTGCTGTGTTTCGTATGGTGAGTTAGAGAATCGGAGACTTTTATTACTGGATAAGGCGCATTCAATCTTAGTCCTCAGGAGTGACAACGAATCTGCATGTTGAAAGAAGGATAGATGTCTATGTGCTATAACATCCACTTACCATCAGGTGGACTGTGTACTCGTTTGTCACCCTTATTCTATAAAATAAAAATCCACTGCTGAACAAAGATCTCCAATAGTTTGTATTTGCCATAGTTGCCACGCCTGGCTGAATACTGCTGACCACCTTCTGTTTTCGTTTACCTCTTTCGTCTCTTACTACACCCACGGGGTAATAAAAGGGAATCACTTACAACGTTTTTACATGGCGGAAAATATTAAAGGGAAATAGTATAATGAAGAGTTAATTCCGTATGCTTTTATAAGAAGCTAGCTTACAAGGACATAGCGTCTTCTTTCGTAATGACTATTTGCTCTAATAACATAAGCTTAAGTGCGGTTGTGCATCAATAGAGCGTAATAACGGGCAATTCGTGGTAAAATCACTAGTATTAATCATGTCTATAGTCATTCCAGTAGGGTGAAACAGCCAGGCATCGCTAGCTAGTTTTTGCAACTGTCTCTTTCTCGCAACTGCGCAGACTCGCCGTCATCGTCATCACGGAACCCCTTTTGGGGTGTCGGAGGTGTTAGGGGTCTCCCCCCTACGTCAATATACGGCAAACAGTGTAGATAAAATAAACACATACAAATGTACTGCCGGCGTTACGTACATACACGCATATCACTCACACATACGCGTACTCGCGAGCTCACATGCGTTATTTTATACAAAATTGAAGTCAGATAATTACATTAACAAGGCGTATACATGGGTGTGTTTTATATATTAAATACGCTACAACGGTAGGGATAGTGTACTTGATTGGGGGGGGGGGGGGAAGCTTTAGCAAAATGGAAAATATTTTATCGAGTATTTTTCATCTGGATATTTCATCGAGATTGCGAGAGGCAGTTTAAGCGTTGTCTGACATCAATCCAGCCAGAGTCCTTTTTAACCAATATTGCGTTTCTATTTTTGCGTTGCACTAACGACATGATGTGTAGGTGTTGTATATTTATCGGTTAGGACGAATTGTTACAACCAAGAATATTTGATTATTGTTTTCTTTAAGTGCCAGGTAGGCTCGGTTGACTTGAGGTAATGTTTTGACGGTTTGTCCTTTTAACCGACTTAAAAAGGGGTGGTTTTCTATTCGAGTGAATGTTTTTTTTTGTAGGTATGTTACGTGATATATTCGCAGATTGTGAACCAATTTTGATGATTCTTTTTTTATTAAATAGGCTATATTTCAAGAGTGGTTCCATATAAATGTGAAAAAATTCCAACCCTAAAGATAGCATAAATAACTTATTTTTTTTAGCTATTTGAAGTTGATTTTTACTTTCTGTTAAAAGTTATAATTATACAAGAACCTTTTGATTAATTCTATTAATATTTTTAAGATAGTAAAAGAATAAAAAGACAATATTAATTTTGATTTGGATGAACACTTATAGTTTTTTCCTAATGTTTATTTTAAGTTATTAAATTACTTATTATAAAAACCGACCGGTTTCGCCTCATAGCATCATCAGGACCCTGATAATGAAAATAGTGTACTTGTAAGTGCCATGAGTTAATGTTAAATTACTTATTATAAAAACCGGTCGGTTTTTATAATAAGTAATTTAACATTATAAAATAAATATTCTAAAACACGTACAATTGTTTATTTAAATCACAGTAACGGCGCTCGGGTTTCACCAAGTGCCAGCAATCCCAAGTATAAATTATAGACAATATTCAAACAACTAATAACAGCCCAACTTGTTGGTTGCCCAACACTGTGCTTGCCAGCAGGAACAATGCTGTCACTAGAGTTCTTTGAGTCACAGTCGAAATATTTTAATTCAACATTGCAGTTACAAAACACTTTTTGAACGTTAAAAAAATATGCCATTGCTACTAGGACATCCTATCGTGGGAGATCTTGTGAGAAGACGTGTCGAATTCTCAACGTGGAAGAGCCACGCTGCAGCTATATTGTGGTTGTAGCACGAATAGATTGGCTCTACCGGGGTATGACCACGCTCTCACAGAATACCAGCGTAAAATAGCAGCTTAACGCTTCTGTGTTTCGTATAGTGAGTGTAGAGAACCGGATACTTATTACTGGAGACGAGGCATTCCATCTCAGTCCTCAGGGGTGACAACGCGTCTGCATTTTGATTCTTAATTGAGGACATAATATGTCTTTGTATCTGTCTAGGACCACAGCATTTACTTACCATGAGGTGGACTGTGTGCTCGTTTGTTACCCTCATTCTATAAAAAAAAGAAGCGGCAAGATTGAGTTTCTTGCTGCTTAGTAGAATATTTTTCTCCCAACAGAATGACAATTTAATCAAGAAAATCAAAGAAAACTGATTGATGAAATCATTCTTATCATTTAAATTATCATCTAATTTAAAACAACCTCTTCTTCATTAGAATGCTTTTTACATGTGCCTTGAATTGTTCATGTTTATCCAAAATTATAAACTATAAAATAAAAATACAATTCCATATTATATACTAGGTACCTATCCCTTTTTTACATATTATTATGCTATTATATATATTTTGTGATACAACGCGTTAATTATTTAATTAGTTACATAGTTTTGTATCCAAGTCCTTATTCCAATATCGGACAGATTAGTGTACACTCCTGGTATATTTCGACCGCAACCGTAGCCGAAGGACGACAAGCCGACGAGTCTGCCGAAAGATACTGCCGCGCCTCCACTGTCTCCCTGGTGTTTAATGTGTATGAAAATAAGTTGAAATAGTATTAAATTATTAAAAATTAGTATAATTACATTAAATATATTAAATAATAGGAATAAAATAAATAATATTAGTTTCAATATTTAAGCGACGTTCATTGATCATAAGTTGTGCAAGATTTCAAATTCTGGAGTCAACCGGAAGTAGTTGAACCCTGAACTTTAAAATGCCATTACATACGAGTACCACATACTTACACACCTACACTAAAGTGCATTTTAATGTAATAAAGGCAGGAATTCATTCATTTCCTTATTTATAAAGCTTATCGAAAGTTCACTGCTGAAATGTCACTTATACATAGAATTAAACTCAAGGGATTATCTGCATTTTTAAAAAATTTCTCTGTCTGTCCAAGCTAATCTTCGGAATGGCTGAATCGATTGTGACTAAATTTAGGAATAGTTAGAGAGCAATGTCAAGAGACGAATCTCCCTCAGCCTTTTATTATTTTAGTATTGAAGACTGATGAGTAATGATGAGTGAGGATGTACTATTATCACTTGTCAGATATTACTAAATGTTTACTGGCCACAAAATCTGACATATGGCCAATATTTTTTCATAAATTCTTTTAGATATCTAAATCAATATTCGAAAGTAAAACACGGTATTAACATATTTATATGTCATCATCCTTGGAGTCTAAGATGGATGGAATGCGTCGTTTTCTTTTATAGGGACATCTTCACAACCACTCTCACTCTGCTCTTTTTTAATCATCATAATCATCATTACAGCCCTTCACAAGTCCACTAACTGTAAATAGGCCTCCCCAGGAATGCCATAAAGCACGGTCGTGAGTCACCTGCATCCATAGACTTCCAGCTTAATAACCTGAAGTGACAATTGGCCGGCCATATAGCTCGAAGAACCAACAACCGGTGGGGAAGAAAGGTTCTCGAGTAGCGGCCTCGTATCGGAAGGCGAAGTTTAGGGTGGCCCCCCGCTATATGGAGTGGCGACATGGTAAGTCATGCTCTTTTTTATTACGATATAATATTAGTAGCTTAAAATAAGACATTAATATTAAAAAATACATCGGTTTATGATCGACTCTGATACATGCGATGATTTTACACAATGCGAAAAAACAAATAATTTAACGTGGTAGAGCCATGCTGCATCTATATTATAGCACGAATGAGTCGGCTCGACCAGGGATGGACCGCGCTCTCATAGAATTAAATTTACTCCAATAAATATTGATAAGAATTGAATTTTTAATAAATAAGGATTTAAAGATAATCCTGTAAATAATGGATATCAGTGAATAAATCCTCCTATAATTGTAAATAACCAGCGCAAAATAACAGCTTAATGCTGATGTGTTTCGTATGGTGAGTATAGAGATCCGCTGACCCTTTTACTGGAAATGAGGCATTCCATCTTGGTCATTAAGGGTGACACTTCATTTTAATTTTTAACTGAGGATAGACGTAGATGTCTATGGGCCACAGCACCCATTTACCATCAGGTGAACTGTGTGCTCGCTTGTCACCCTATACTATATAAAAAAAAAGATAAAACCAAGTATCAGTTTCAACGCTCCACTACAAAGATACGTTATGTTAAAACATTGCAAATCATGCAACATAAAAAGCTTTCAATATTACACCTATTTTAATTACATATACTATTAGTTGTCGAAAGTGAAAACCAATTATAATTAATTACTTATCACGTTTCGTTAGCCGGTTTATATAGTCTTTATAATTCATTGCTGCTCTAGCAAAAGCAGCTTTCAACTGATACTTTAGGCGGTAACTAAATTTACGATAGCTAAAATATATTATTACATATTATTAAGTTTTACTAGAAGTTAAATATAAATATAACAACTCTCATGAGAAAAGAAAGTTAATCAAAGTATTTAATTTTCTACCGACTTCAAAAAGGAGACGGTACTCAATTCGACTATATGTTTCTTTATGTGTAATACCTCATAACTTTTTACTGGGTGAACCGATTGCGATGATTCTTCTTTTATTTGATAGCTGGTGCTTCATATGTAGTTTCATATAAATTAGATCAAGATCTAACGAATAGTTTTTGAGTTATTCTTAGTAATTTATATTGAAGTCGGTTGCACAAAATTTTTAATTTTAAATTATCGTGGTTGACATTTGAAAATTGTCGCTTTGATATACAACTACAGGTAAAACCTATTATTTAAAAACTAGGTAGTGGGACTCCATTTCAGCCTAGTATTCTTTCTGGGTAGGTACCGCCCTCTCACCTATATTGTGCCACGAAATAGCAGTGTCTGCACTGCTATGTCCCGGCCTGAAGGGTTCCAGTATAATTACAAGGTTAGGCATTCTAATCAGCTCAGGTTGCTCAGTGAGTTATGGAGAGGGCTATGCTCGGAGTTTCTCTGCATGATAGCCCTAGAAATGAAAAATAAGTGATCTTGTTTCGAAAAACTTATCGGCGATAATAATAAAAAAACTGCATTTGCCAAATCGCAGTTACTATATCAAAATATGCCCTCTATAAGGCAATTTATGGGAGAATTTCCTTCCCCGGTCGAGACGACCCGGTCGTTTTATAACTATACCAGTGTTATAGATGCAGCACAGCTCTACCTCGTATATGCTCGATGTAGGAAGTCCATGGAAACAAGCAACAAAACATGATTTGTGGATTTCCTTGGTGCAAGTCCATGTTCAGCAGTGGTCTCGTGACTGGCTATAATGATGATGATGATGTTTACACAAGTTTTAAAACTTTTGTATCATTGAAATACCCATAAGTTGTAATAAATACCTGACACGCATCACCATCTTCCCCACCGGCACAGAACATTCTCGGCGTCAGAGTGTGATTGTACCAAAATTCATTTACCTCCTGACACTTTTGTATTGGCACAATAGGAACTCTTACTAGTTGAAGAACATCTTTGTAGTCACCCTGATGATCAATCTTAATTACAATATAAATTTTTAGAACGTTAAAAAAAATGTTTCTCAAGTATATTTTGAATTTTATGACAACAAAAAAAAAACAAAAGTTAACACAATATGGGTTCACTAACATCTAAATCCGCAGTATGACTTGTGTTAGCTCCGCAGTACCTACGTATTACCTTTTTGGGGCATTTTGTCTCAACTCTAAGAGTATTTCATTATTTTCATTTAATTTAATATGGAAGTTACCAAGAAAGGTAGCTGTTCGATGTCTAACAACACAAAATAATACAAAAGTAAAATAAATCAATATAAAAAGTGTTTTCAAAGTTAATTTTCAATTCTTTTCCCGTTGATGCCGCAGTAAATTCTAATATACAAATATATAAAAAAATTGCAGCAATAGTTTTCAATACGACTCAATTAAAATGTCATGCTTGGGTCAAATAAGTTACTGCTTATATCACCATCAAATATGTTTCATTCTTTTTATGATGTTTTCTTTTATCACCGAGCAAGTGCATAGTTAATACTTAAATGATTAAAGTTAAAGTTGCATAGTGCACGGCGGGGATCGAACCCGGGCTACTCGCGTACTGTGAAATTTATGGCTATATACTGTCTTATAAATTTATCGACAATTAGCCGGTTTTCAGCAAACAAAGTCAATACAAACTCTTAACAACCTTACTTTTTCAACAGGGTAACCCCATCCAGAGACTTCAATGTCCTCATCAAAATTGCCATCGCTGATTTCAATCTTTGCGATTCTTTCGCTGAAGTGCAGCTTCCTGCGAAGACGTAGCAACTGGACGTCGTAATCAAAAGAATGCTCTATTCTATACTTAGGGTGTATCAGATGACGATCCACTATAACTTTTGGACCTCTTAGGCGGTGTTTACTGCCGATTCGAATGTACGTTTTTTCTGTACTAAAAATAAAAATACTATTACATAAAAATAATATTCCAATCAGTTTTGTTATCATCAACATCATTATTAAAATCATTATTTTCACACGTCCTCTGCTAAAAATAGGTCTTCCCCAAGGAATGCCACAAAATATGGTTTTGAGCGACCTTTATCCATTGCTTTCCTCTTGTATTACCTGGTCATCTTTCTCTATAATTAGGTGCCGTCATACACTCCACTTAGTTACAAGACTGTCACTTTAAAACTTTTCTTTCCCATCGGTTTTCCATCCTTCGAGCTATATGACCGGATTATTGATACTTAAGCTTACTGATCCTGAACGCTATGTTTCTTACTCTGTTGACTGTAATGATGACGATGATGATATCGCTATCGATTTGAATTTGTACTTACGACAACCACAAAGTGATATACGGTGATGGATTTCGTTACGATACAATCAAATCATTATATCATCACATTACATTTTTAACGTGATAGAACCGTTCTGCAAATATATTATGGTAGCAGTACGAATGAATTAGCTCGACTGGGGAGAGACCACAGGGAGGGACCACGGGAAGGGACGGTAATGCTGCTGTGTTTCGCAAATTGAATGTAGAGTACTGAAGACTAGTGTAATAATTAGACTAGAATAATAATACTGGTAAAGAGGTATTTTACCTTAAATGCCAGGGGTGATAATGTGTCACTTTGAAACACAATCGAATACAGATGTTGGTGTCTATGGTTACAGCATCCACCTACTATCAAGTAGACTGTGTGCTCTTTTATCACCCTTTCATAATACCATTACATAATATTCACAGGTATACATAGGTAATATTTAAATAACCTATGTATACCTAAAACACTTTATCTTTATTTCGAATCCCGTACTAATTTCCTAGTGCATTACCAACTGAGCAACGTTTTAGCGATACCTTATCTCGATCTAGGTAGGGGAAGTGTTACCGCCGTGTCTATTCACATAATTTTCTTTCACAAACGTTGCAATACTGCTAAAAGTTTCTAGTCCACAGATATAAATGTTCTTAACTTTCCCCTTACAAAATAGAAAGCGTTTAAATTTGCGCGCAAAATATTTTAGTTACTAACAATTTAAATTTAAATTTAATGATGCACATTGCACAAATCGCTTAAAATTATATTAAAACAAGAATTTTTTTTAATTAATTAAATTTAAAAAAGTTATAACAAGAAAATATTTCTTACAATTTATTCCATGTCTTTCAGGAACTTATAGGTCCCACAGTGGACTTAATAACAAAAAAGTATATGCCAACTGTGTTACTTGGTTAGCATGTCATAAAAAGCCAAGTAATTGGATATAAGTTTTGTGATTTTGTAGTCGATGGCCTAACCATCTATCGCTTCTATTTTTTTTACATTTATTTACATTATTAATTTTACAACAATTGTGTATTATTTTTGCTGCACCATATTTCGAAATAACAGCGCTGATAAATACACGCTATATGGCGACTATTTGTAATATTGTGCTTTAAAATAAAGCTTGATTTTTTTTGTACAAATTATGCAATTTTTTTGTATTTTTTAAAAATATTTAAACATTTAGAGTGTGAAAAATGTACGAATACCTAAGCGACCAATTATTTTACTTTAGACTCGTTATAATCCATTGTTATTATTGAATTATAGTTAATAATGTGATAAAGAGTAAGTTTTACTAAATGGTAAAGTTAGTGAATAAGAATGTTGTTTGTCTTGAATAATATCTTACCACCGCAGAACATTTTATAAATATAAAAGATTTTTTTTGGATAATAAATAATAAATAGGAAAGATTTGTTTGTTTATTTGTTTGAATTGAATAGGCTCCGAAACTACTGGACCGATTTGAAAAATTCTTTCACCATTAGAATCCTACATTATCCCTGATGAACATAGTCTATAGAATATTCTCAAAAAAAGTTAGAGATCCGCATGAAAACTTCGTTAATGTAACCCAAGGTGTGAAAAAATACCAAAAAGAATCCTTATATCGCGTACGCTACGGAAACTATTGATAATAGAGCAAAGTGATGTGCTACAATTTTATACAGGACATCAATATCTACAAACAAGTCCGCGATACCATGTGTCTAACTATTACAGTTATGTCACAATAACTACTTTTCCATGTTAAAGTATGCAATAGTAATGCCGGTACAAACTAAGCCACATTATTCGTACCTAGGTATTATACCTTATATCCAAATAAATCAGTTCATATTCAAGGCTATATCAGTACCTGCACCATGCATAACCATCAATTACGTTAAGCATGTAATTTAAGTACCATTTTCACTTTTCAAATCTTTTTTTTAATTCAACAACTGTCCGTAGTGATGTCTCTTTCGAAGGAGGCGCAGATGCGTGATATACGCGGGTGAAACCGCGGGGTACAGCTAGTTTTTGGATAAACTTTATCTAAAGTTTATCCAAAAATCCCCATCAGGTAACCATCATCCAAACTGTAAGTTCGTTTGTCATTTCAGTTTTTAAAAATATTGAGGAACATGGTTTCACATAATATTAGAGTAAAGAAGCAGAGAAGAAGTCCCTTTAATCATAACAATTATTATAAGTATTTCAGTTTGGTCGCCGCGAGTGGACTACGCAGCAATATGATTGTTACGTGGACTCTATGCTCGTTTGACACTCTCTATCGTTATGAGTACACTGCTGAACCTTCCTCAAGGAATGCCATAAAACTCGACCCAGAGCCACCTACATCCATCGGTTGTCTGTATATCTTACCTTTGAGAACCTTTCTTTCCCATCGATTGTTTTCGAGCTATATAGCCGGCAAATTGCCATTTCAGCTTACTGATTCGTTGGGCTATGTCGGTACTCTAGTTAGACTGCGGCAATCCTCATTACAGGCGCCTTTATTTATATAAAATTTTGAGGGAATATATCTCTTAATAGGAAATTACCCGCAGTGGGCAGTAGTCAAAGCCCATTGCTGATGAATAAGCACACCTCCACAAATGTCTCCATAATTCACTTGGTACGGGGCTGCTTCTATTCTGATGTCGTGGCCGTTGAATATTCTACAATTGTACCAAAAAGAACACTATACTAAATTTTTTAACAATCACTAAGACCTATACAACGCTTTAAAGTATACGCCAGCAAAAATAAACACGTTATTAATATTTGCGTAAAAGAAAAACATTTTTAATCAATTATCGTACTTAAAAGTCAACAATTTTTTTTTCGATATTATAAAACATAAATAAAACCCAACAAAAGCAAAGAAACTAACGCCATAACAGAATAAAATTCTAAACAAATAATACTATTGTACAAGATGTAAAATCTCGTAATCATACTTTATAGTTCAAGCGTGAAATGAATTCATATTTCTAATTCTCTTGTTCAAAAGCTAAATTTTAAGGCACTTTCACATTACTTCTGAAAAATTTTATTTTGACATATTATTGCCACAATTGTACTTATTGTAGATTTATGAAATACCTAAATTTAAACGACTGAACTGCGTAGTTTCATTTAATAATGTTTTTTCTGATTTTATCGTATTAATGGTAACACACAACGAGCGATATGGGCTCCACCGGTACTGTGAAGCAATAGAAACGTCGGATCAACATATTATATCAAGTGCCTATTTAAGTCCTCCAGTGGACTCAGGCTTTTCAAAGAATGCATCAGGCAAAATGTTTTTCTTTAAGTAAAAAATGTGAAAATTAAATTCGATAAAGCCTGTATCATTAGTTTTATTTAATTCGAATAATTCGCGTAAAATAACTGATAACAGAGCATATTACACTTTTAAAAATACTAAACATAATAAATCATATCATATATTTTTTTAAGGCCCGTAATTTTTACCTACCTTGTATTAAATTCCTTTACACAACGACCACAAATTAATGAATTTAATTGGCTCTTTATGGTTAAAATACGCACAAAAAAGTTACAGCCTAACGTTCCACTGCTGGGGACACCTGTCTCTTCTCATTTTCCATAGGAGTTTTGGGCAAGGAAGTGTCCGCTGCGCTACGCTCGTAACTTTTTTGGATTATATTTAAGCATTTACTAAAAAATGTAACCTAAGTAACCAATTATTTTAAATCAATATAACTTTAACGAAAACTACAACGTTATAACTAACTGTATCCACTGTTATTTTTAAATTATTGTTAAATAGTGAAAAACATTTTGGAAAATGATGAAACTAATGAAATATAATTTTTTTGCCTTAAATTATATATTACCACTGCAGAACATTTCACAAACAACATTAGACATTGATAGTAATTATATTTGAATATTCCAATTTAGTTGAAAGCTTCCGTTAAATACATAAACCACCGAACCATAGCAATAAGTTATGTATACGCGGCACTAAGCTGAACATATTAAACAAATACTGTGTATATTTGTTTAATATACATACTTATATCATAGATTATCCGAGTATATCTTTAATTAGGACTTCTTTTAAAAATTATAACAACATATCTTACTAAGTAACCCAAACTAGTTTACACGGTAACCTAGATAAGTTACCCTGCTTGCAAATTTTAGCAATATTAACTTGCGTTGTTGGTAATATGATTGCCGCAGCTAACGCCTGATTCTGCTAACATTAATGAACATTAAATAAAAATAACATAACTAATTTTATCGCATTAAGTATAAGTAATTTTAAGCCGTCGACGTTAAATAAATTTAAATAAAACTAGTTTTTACGCATTTTATCGCGTATATTAACTTATTTTATATTACCGATATTTCGAGCACTTTACAGCACCCATGGTCACATAAAGTGCTCGAAATGTCAGCAATATAAAATAAGTTAATATACGCGATAAACTCCGTAAAAACTAGTTTTATTTAAAAGTGTAGTGTTCGCGTAAATATAAGAAACCGTCGATGTTATTTTAAAACTAATCACGATAAAATCCATAAATCTTGTTTTATTCAATTTGTAGCGTTCGTGTTAGTATGAGAAATCATTAATGATATGGTGGTCAAGGTATACATAATAGGTAGGTAGATATATATACAATATACGACGACGTCTAAATAGCGACGTGGCTAAGCTTCAATAACACTTTCAATCTTGAATAGAAGTATTTGTATAGACTAAAAATTATTGTTCCGGATCTGGATGTTTGTCCGTGTGCAATTTATGCATGTTACAGACAAAGAACCTTCACGTTACCGACAAAAAAAACCGTAACCCGCAGTAGAATTTTTTAAATTTTTATTTAAAAATCATTTTTATTTAAAAAAAGAATTGATATATTTGTTAATCAATTCGTTGCTATAATTTGTGTAGTGGCAACGTAGGAGAATCAACCCGTGGGTGTCGTAAGAGCAAAATTCAACTGGGAGATGGGTCGGAATATTTCTGACAACAACTTAGATTAGATTAGATTATTTTTAAAAACGTTACCCCTACACTAGGATTTTCTCCTGTGTAGTGGAGGCAGTTTATAAATAGCACAAGGACAAACATCCAGACCCGGAACAATTATTTGTAGGCCATACAAATACTTGTTCTGTACGAGATTCGAACCCGCGGCCCCCAGCGCAACAACTGATTGCTAAGCCACTGCGCCACGGAGCCAATGATAATTACTGAAAATCGGTTACCATCCCGCCTACCCAGCGTGAGAAGTATAACAAATTTCTCCTCTATCAGGTAATCAATTGGGTGAAAGTACGAAAGTATACTGAGTTTCGTATGGTGAATGTTCATTCTGCTGTTTCACGCTCGTATTCAGTAAAAGCATGGTCCGACAATTTATTACAATTAAATGATTTACTTTATTTATTCACACACACACACACACACACACACACACACACACACACACACACTTAACAACTATCCTCACAGGCTAAACAAACCTACTACGATAGTGTCGCTAATCTACTTATATATACTATGTATAACAACTATTAAACGTACAAACGTTAACGTATTAACGTTAGTTATTAACTATGTATAAAAGTACCCAAACGAGTTCACTCAGATTACTCGAAAATATATCAATACTCTCGTGAACTTTGTTCACTACGAGGATTGTTGGGAGTAGAGTTGAGTTAGTAAGCACATTGGTCCACGGGCAGCGCGAGCAGAGGCGGGCGGATCCGCCTCCACTCGCAAAGGTCCGGTGCGCACAGCTGCAGATGGCGTAGCACGCTCGGGTTGCACGCTGTGCCGCGGAACAACTTCATTATGTACACAACTCCAACTCTCGTCTCACTCTGAGATAGTTGTATCCGACCATCCCGAGCACTAACAATGTGGGGTATATCATAGGGTAAAACGGGTATATCCCACTTTGAAGTACATGTGCCTCATAAATTTGTTTTGGATACGTTCCAGCATTAGGCTGAACTTTTCTTCGTGCGGAGCCCATATAACGGCACCGTACTCCAAGTGACTTCTGACCACAGTATCGTATAGCGCTTTCAGTATATACATATTTGTAGTCTCGTGACTGTCAGAACAAAACCCAGGTTTCTATACGCCTTTTTAGAATTTTTAACAATATATAACTGATGTTAGAACGGAGGTGAGATGGATTCAAAGATCTCGTACCTGATATATGAATGATAAAAAAATGCGTGAGTGTCGTAAAACACTCAGTTTGAACGAAGTTCCTTTCATAGTATATTATTATTGATTAACGTATTATATTATTGATTAACAAATACAAATAAATGAATTACTAGCGTCTATTTATCTACGTCTAAATAAAATAATATTTCTTTCGTGACTACATAAGAAAAAGTGGGAGGAAGATGGATATTATTCCATCTCGCTTCCTTATAGCCGCCAAGGCCGTCTACACTACGTCAGAAGGGGTCGTGACGGAAAGTCTTACACTTTTCGTCGCCTAGCCTCCAGCCGCCAAATCCGTACCGTCCGATAAAGAACTTCGTTCCAATTATTATATTGAATAATCATATTAATGATAAAAATTATGACAACTTCCCTAAAATAGAAAAAGTCCATCTGCAACTGAGTGCTATTTAAGTGCTGATGATGAAGATCAAGGTAACGAAAGAAAAGAAAAAAGAATAAGCCATATTTCTAACTGGGACTGAGCGCTCTCCTCAAATTTCATACTCTACGAGCAGCCAGAGTTCGATCACGCCGGGATCATTAAAATATTTAACCGTAATTTAAGTGAACGACGGTGAAGGCAAACATTGTAAGGAATTCTTTAACTACTCATAATTAAAAAAATCCCGCTGGGTTTCTTGCTGGTTCTTCCCAGAATAGAGACTTTTTTGCGAACCAGTGGTAAATAAGTAAAAGATAAATATTTTCAATAAGAATTACTTGTAAACCATTCTATTCTGCACATCCGATAAATCTATAGTTCAGATTTTGGTGGATTTAGATCAAATGAGGCTGATTCTCGGGAAATGTGTTCTAAATGGTGTGTGTATAAAGAAAAAAAAATATGCGAATCAAAATGTAGATGCGTTGTCAGCCATAAGGACTTAGATGGAATGCCTCTTTTCCAGTAAAAAGGGTCTCCGGTTCTCTACACTCACCATACGATACAGCAGCATTAAGCCGCTATCTTGCGCTGGTATTCTGTGAGAGCGTGGTCCTTCCCCGGTCGAAGTGACCCAATCGTGCTACTACTATACAATTTATATAGCTGCAGCATGGCTCTACCACGTAAATAGCTTTTGATAGGCTGTAAAAAACTACTCCAAGAAATATGAAAATTGTGCATGTGATGACGTCGATGATGAATTTTTCCCAAGTAAAGCTCGTGTGTACGAGAGTAGTCATATGGGATGAGTATTGCAAAGTACTAGAAAAATGTGATGAAGCTATAACAACAACAACACCAACAACAAAGGTGATAACAACTCAGTATCAAAAAACATGAAACACAAAATCTTTACAGGTTTGCTTTCAAGGTTTATCAAAAAAACTAAAGAAAAAAAAGAAGTGAACGTCAAAAGATAGGTTGTTTAATTCGTTGGGGAGCAAGTACTGCAGACCATACAGGTTTTACAAAACAAAAAAAAAACGACATTAACAATAAATTGACAGTTGTCTTCGAGAATTATCCATAGCAGCGCCCTCGAAGCAGGATCCATCTTCAAGAGTCTACTCTATTTATTATATACTTATAGTGTAAATCACTCCAGTTCATCTCTTTCTTTCTCTTTCTATTTCATCTTTCTCTATCTCTATAACATTTTCATATCTCATTTAATAATATGTGTTAGGTATGAAATTACTTCAGACACTTATATATTTTTAAAATATTTATTCTAGATCTAATCCGGTGATCATTTCTATCCAGGATCTGACTTTTGCCACTTTGCTGTATACGCCGTAAGATCCTGGCGTTGCACAACCATAACCGAAGGACACCATACCAAGTAGGCGGCCGTCTGATACCGCTGGTCCTCCAGAGTCGCCCTGCAGGAAAATAATATTTTGATAAATTAATGAAATGAAATTGCATTTGGGTCGATTTTACAATGAAATAAAAATCAAATTAAAGTTATTTATAAGAAGAAAATACAACATGAACAAATTAGAAACTAAAGTTCTTCGAACAAATGTTTCAATTTTATATTCAGTCAGGTTTTTTAACTTTTATCTGATGATAGAAAAATTACTCCTTAATATTTTTAACGAAACTTAAAGAATAAATGAAGTAGAGCTAAGGTGGAGGTGTGGAAGGTAGTGGAACACACAGAATACTAGCGTAAAATTACAGCATAATGCTGAGGTATTTTGGATAGTGAGGGATGACAACTAGAGACCATTTATACTCATAACGTAGCATTTCAGCTTAGTCCTAAGGTGTGACAAATCATTTGCATTTAATTCTTAATCGAGGATAGACCAAGGTGTCTTTAAACACAACGTCTATCTAGCGGACACAGGTGGACTGTGGGCTCGTTTGTCGCCCATATATATGTTTGCAAATTATCATTTAACTCGTAAAGCCGTAGTCGCTCGGGGGCTAAGTACTTGTTGTAAATTTTACAGTACGCGAGCAATCCAGTTTCGATTCCCACCGGCACCAATTAAATTGTTAATTGCAGTTTTAAGAGCTGATTTATACGTGCTCGGCAATGAAGAAAATCTACATAGCTAAGAAATTTAAAAAAATATTTCACAAACATGTAAAGCACATAATTTATTTACGTGGTTAATGCTGCGGATATATTGTGGTTGCAGTACGAATGGCTCGGTTCGACCGGGTTAAGGTCACGCTCTCACAGAATACCAGCGTAAAATAGCAGCTTAATGCTGCTGGGTTTCGTATGGTGAGTGTGGAGAACCGGAGACACTTTTTGTTGGAAACGAGGCGTTCCATCTCAGTCCTCGGGGGTTCTCATGGCAGAGGGTTTTGGGGGCATAATGGTGGACGTTGCCCCCAAAACCCTCTCAGAGATGAAAGGAAGCCTGTGCCCAATATAGTAACATAAATATCCCATAACATTACTTTAATTTTTTTCACTTATATGTATTTAGTGGCGCTACATGAATTGATGATTAAAAAAACTGAATGGAGTGGATTGAAGTTTGAAACATAGCTGGAGCTTATATTTGTACAAAATAAATACTGTCGGTTCTCGAACATGGTTAGGTTGAAATTTTGATAACACATCCTAGCTTATCTTCGATTAAATCTCTAAATTAAATCTCGAGTACGGATTCGGAAGAGGGAGATCGCCTTGTATCCAAACGTAAACTATATTCTACTTTTTCAGCCCATAAAAGTCCACTGCTCGATGTAGACTCTCTTGTTGTAAGGAAGCTAGCTGCCTTCATCATGCCGCGCTTGGCTGATAGATTGATGATCGTATTAACCAACCAACTGTCTTGGAATTTTACGTCTCGCGTACGCGAGATCGTATCCCGCTGTCTATTGGAAGCCATAAGATTTATCTGGCATTTCACATAGTTGACTCTTACTAACACTGACATATACTGCATATGAAATGCACAGTTTATATATCCCAAAATATTCGGAAAGTGGTCATAAACGATGACGAGAATAGATAAAATTTAAGTGTGTGGTGACGGTGTAAGGAAAGCCATCCCTTCTTTTCATGCCGAGGGTGAAGTAAAAGTTGACTTAAGGATAAGCCTTATGGCTTCTGATAGATTGGGTTATAACGAACTCTTTATATCAGATCAGGGGGCATCGTTAAAGGTGCAAGTCGCCAAATATTGAAATAGACTGCCAAGCTTGACGGTCGACCTTAGCGGCATAACAGAATCGAACATCCCATATCATCCCACAGTATCTCGCAATGTATCACATAGTACGACACCGACGAGCGGACAGAGAGAAACTTTATCAGGAGATGGGCAGCAGCATCTTCTCCATAACAACTCAAAGTAATAAAATTAAACATCAGTAGCCAGGGTATCATTCACATCATTGCCCTCAATATATTGATCTATTTTATACAAGAATTTAAAAAAAAATCGACAAAATCCACCTACCAAGCGTTGTAGATATGGAACACATTTTTAAGGCATTCTCTGGATCAGCAGTGCATTTTGGATTTGCTGTAATAAATGAACAATGATAATAAACCTTAGATGGCTCTTAATATAAACATGGACTATTGGTTACCTGGCAAGCATCCATATCCCCCTCGTCATAGCCAGCGCAGAACATTCTTGGCGTTAGAGTATTCCTAAAATACGGAAACGGCACGTTTTGACATTTCTCTTTTGAAATAATCGGCACCCGCACTGCCCTTAGAACATCAGAGTACGGTCCCTAGAATTAGAGTATGTTTTAATTAATTTTAGAAAGAAAGAATATATAATATACTATGTGGTACTATAATTAATATATACTAGGCGATAGATAGATAGCAGATTGCACACATCAAACTACAAAATAAGAGATAAAATAACATATAAACTGTTAAAAGATATGCAATGGACGCTCTTGTCGCTAAAAGCGACTTTCCTTTTTTATAGAATAAGGGTGATAAACGAGCACACAGTACCTACACGTGATCGTAAGTGGTTGCTGTGGCCCATAGACATCTACATCCATCCTCTATTAAGAATTAAAATGCGGATGCGTTCTCACGCGTGAGACTGATTGTCTCATTTCCAATGAAAAGGGTCTCTACACTCACCATACGAAACCGTTAAGCTGCAGCTATCTTACGCTGATTTTCTGTAAGAGCGTGTTCCTTACCCGATCGAGCAGACGCATTACTGCTACAACTATACCAGTATAACAGCAGCATGGGTCCACCACGTCCTTTGGATGGACAGGATTGTAAAATAACAGAAATACTACTTTTATTTTTAAACATCGATTATAATAGCAAAATTAATAAGGACTAAAATAAAAGCCTCCCTCTGCATTTATATTTGTTCTCTTTAAAATTGGAAGACATCAGAATGTGTAGCGCTGCTAATAAATTTTGTTTGATTGTATTGCCTCTGACATCCCGAACATACATGTCATATTAAAATGCATTTACAAACGACGCTCTAGACGGAAGTTTATCGACCAAATTGGTGATAATATTGAACATGGGCCAAATTAAGAGTACTTTTAACCGACGAGCATGTATGTATCAGGATTGTGTTAAATGGAACTTCGCAGTCTCTGCCTACCCTCTGGGTAACAATGATTTTGTTAACCTGAAAATTACTGATAAACTAAGTAATACTTTAATATTAATCAAGATAACTGCATCGTTTAAGAAATGTATTTATCTCTAGTAATTGTTACCCTTATAGCAAGCTACCGGTAAAAGCCTGTCATATTGTAATATCACATTGTAAAGTCACGCTGTGACTACACAAGTACGTCATAACTTAGAGCTGGCTTAGTTTGAGATGCTCACATCAACGTAAGTCTGTCCACAGATCCATGTCTGCTTCGCCACAAGATTTATTGTAGACAGGAAAATATGCCTTCAACTAAAGCTCGTATTACGTTCTGGATTTACGAGGGCGACACTGAGTTTGTAAACGATATAATAAAAAAATAAGTTCTAATTTTGAAAAGGGAACTCTTTGCCAATATTATTGTGTATGTGTTTTATTAAATTATCATTTGTTTACGATTTGGCGGCAAATTGAAAATGGTCTGTGTCACAGCAGCATGAATTTAACTGGAGAAAATTTTCGTACAATGATTTTTTATGCCTTTCGATGTCATTTAAGTCAACAAGAAAGTTATGATAGACTTCGATTGGCCTTTCACGATGAAGCCCCATTTCGTGCCACTGTTTACAACAGGTTTAATGAGTTTAAACGTGGTCGCATTAATCTCACCGATGATCTGCGTGATGGACGGCCTTCTACGGCGACGACTGAAGATAACATCAGTGTTGTGCGGCGTATGATAGAGACTGACAAAAGAGTGACTTATCAGCAGATTTGGACAAGCTTAGGCATCGGTATGAGTCAAATGCACAAAATACTCCATGAAAATTTAGCGTTCAGGAAGCTTTGTGCCCAGTGGATACCTCATTATTTGGCAGAGGCGCAAAAATTCCGTCGTGTTGATTGGTGTCGTGAAATGGTTTAAATATTTGACGGAGGTGACTCTAATGTTGTGTTCGACATATTTACGGGTGACGAAATCTAGATTTATTGTTATGATCCTGAAACTAAGAGACAGTCTGCTGTCTGGGTGTTTCCTTCCGAGGAGTCCAACCAAAGTGAAGAGAGGTCGAAGCATGGAAAAAAATGGTAGCCTCGTTCTTCGGAAGGGAAGGTCGTTACGCAACAATTGTTTTATAGGATCAAAAAACAGTTACTGCAGAGTGGTACACTAACAATTGTTTGTCACTTGTCTTAAAAAAGTTCGGGAGAAACGACCTCGCAGTAAAATCCTCCTTCACCACAACAACGCCTCGTCGCACACCGCCAAGCAAACAATTGACTACTTGGCGACGTCATACGTGGAAATACTGGGTCACCCGCCCTATAGCCCCGACTTCGCACCTTGCGATTTTTATTTATTTCCGAAAATAAAAGAAAAACTTCGAGAAAAACCTTTTTTTTAGGATCGGGTGACAAACGATCGCACAGTCCACCTGATGGTAAGTGGTTACTGTGACCCATAGACATCTACATCTATCCTCAATAAAGACTCAAGATGCAGATGCGTTGTCACCCGTGAGGACTAAGATGGAATGCCTCTTTGCCAGTAAAAAGGGTCTCCGGTTCTCTACACTCACCATACGAAACACAGCAGCGTTAAGCTGCTATTTTACGCTGGTTTTCTGTGAGAGCGTGGTCCTTCCCCGGTCGAGTCGACCCATTCGTTCTACAACCATAATATAGTTGCAGCATGGCTCTACCACGTATTTTTCAAAATGCCGTCGAAATGACCCCTAAGGACGAGTGGGCAAAGTGATTTTATCAGTGGTTCCATCAGATGCAACGATGTATTGATAAAAATGGACAATATTTTGAAAATATATAATAAAACTTATAACATTCTAGTTTGTTCGGTTTTTGATTTTCTAAGAACGTTCAGTGTCACCCTCGTAGTATGTGTGAGTGAACATGTAATTATAATAATGCATGTACATATGTTGATCTGATTCTGATTAAAATATTCAACTTTATAGTCTACTATACGGCGATCCACTAATAAAATAATTTCACACTCTGAAGTCAGGCCTTTAATTCAAGGGATCCGCCTCGTCTTTGCACAGGTTATTTCTGTATTTCGACAACAGCGCCCCCTACCCTATCCAATTGTGAATCTAAGCTATCCAGACATCCAAGACAAATGCATACGAAAGTTTCATAAAATCAATCCAGCCGTTCAGGAGGAGTTTTTTTTACTGCGAGCTGGATTGTGTAACCACACTAGTGAACCTTCGTCAAAGCCTTTGTTGTTCATTTTGCGGTCATACCGTGTTTTCATCTTCTCAGACGTTTGCTGGCCCGACTGTCTGACGTGCTCATAAATGTCATTAATTTTGTTCCGCAAGTCATTTGCATAATCGGTTATACTGCGTGGGGCATCAGGTGGTATTCCGGTGATCAGGTCTGCAGGCAGCCGTAATTCTCTCCCAAAGTTTGCGAAATCTGGCATCACTGATGTACTTTCGTGAACAGCACTTCGATATGACAACAAAAACGGTTGTATATGCCTGTCCCAGTGTTGTTGCTGTTTTTCCACAACTTTTGCCAGGTACCTTTCCAATGTCTGATTAAATCGTTCTACCATTCCATGAGATTGTGGGTGGTAAGAAGTTGTTCGGATTTTATGAGTACCCATAACTCTGCAAGTTTCCTGGAATATTTGAGACACAAAATTCCTTCCTTGGTCGTTGTGAATCTCTAAGGGTACTCCAAAACGACAGAAGACTTCATGAACTAGTTTATCTGCAACTGTTGAAGCTTCTTGATTTATACCACTGATACCACTTCCTTACCTTCTTGCCTAATACAACGCTTGCAATCTTCAGGACAAAGTCTTCTTGACAATACATCTGCGTTGCCATGAGATTTCCCGCTGCGCTGGGCGGTGCTGTTAGCCGCACTACCCTCTCGAAATCGATCACCTTCCCTTTCTACAGTAGGGAAGGTGATCGATTTCGAGAGGGATTCAGTCGATTTCGCTTAGGGCAGCTGGATCGAAGATGGTCCCTTTCCCCACAGTCGTAGCACCAAGGGCGGTAGCCGTTATTGTGGTCCTGAACTATAACTGCTGCAACCTCCCTGACGCGATGGGAACGAAGATCCTGCCGCACGGCTTCCACCTCCAGTGCATGGGTCAAGGCGTCCTTAAGCGTCTCGTGGTGCCCGAGCCTCACAGCAGCTCTGACTTCAAGGTCGCGGATGCCGTCGATGAATTTCTGCACCAGGTTACCTACAATGAGCGCAGGTACAGACTGGTATGCTTTTCGAACCAGCTTCTCCACCTCAAGGGCCCACTGCTGCAGGTTTTCGTTACTGCGTTGCACGCGATCTTTGAGCCGCGCACGAAAGACGTGTTCCAGGTGAGCGTCAACATATCTCGCCTCCAATGCCTCAAGGAGCTGTTCGTAAGTCACTTCCTTACTAAGAGCTTCCAGAACAGTTAAGGTCTGGTCGCGCAGGCCTAGGGTGAGAGCAGTCATGGCCTGACGTTTATTCCAGCCGTTCGCCTTCATAACAGCCTCGAACTGGATTTTGTAGGCTGACCAGGAAGAAGTCCCGTCGAATGGCGGTACTTTGAATAATCCACCTAGCGAAGGTGTTGAAGCTACCACGGGAGCTGTAATTCCATCTCCATGTTTGAGGTCGTCCAGCGTTTTCTTCACGTCAGCTATCACGTTGTCAACCTGATTGTACACTTGATCGATTCGGGTTTCAGCTTCCGATAGGTGGTTGTCATGTTGAGCAACCCTATCCTTCACCTCCCTTATCTCTTTCCCGAAAGTAGCGTGAAGGTCTTTCCTGAGGAGCATCTGCTCTTCCATACCGCGCTGCAGCAGCTCTTCCAACCGTTGGGCCTGTTCATCCTGTCCGCGGGTTTGCTCCTGCAGCATTATCATCAGAGCACCTAAATCAGGTGCTGCAGATGCAGGAGCTGCTGACGGGCCGGCCTCCGTGGTCGGCAGCTGGCCCTCCGACATCTGCGACGTTGCACCACCAAATCGTCTCTGGTCCATCTCCAGCTGGCGTTGACTTCGGGTACGGATACCCTCCATGTCGTCCTTTGGTAAAATCGGCATGATTTGATCCCACTTCTGACACTACTTTTATTTTTGTGTACGTACATTACATTTTCATAAATGTATTGAGAGGCCAAAGTTAATATATTACGTTCCTTAAATTTTTGTCGCAGCGATTCTTTAGGCTTTAAATCATAAATTGCTCTTATGGCCCTTTTCTGTAAAACAAATATAATTTCATTGTCAGCTGCGTATTCCCATAGCAAAATACCATACGACATTATGCTATGGAAATATTAGCTATTATATTATTAAACTAGTCTAGCTGTTTCAACACTAGTTAGACTTCTAATCTTTTTATGGCATATGCTGCAGAACTAAGTCTGCTTGCTAGTTTTGATAAATGGGAGCTCTATAGCTTCGCGTCTAGTGTGATTCCTTGAAAAATGGTGGTATCTACAAGACTCAATTTCTCCCCGTTAAAAATTACATTAGTATTTAATTGTTTGACATTTGGAGTCACGAATTTCATACATTTCGTTTTAGTGCCATTTAAATGCAAATTATTAACATTGAACCAATTTACTAATTTAGATATAGCATTATTTACTTCGTCATATTTTGGCAATTGTCGACTTAATTTGAAAATTAAAGAAGTGTCATCTGCAAATAATACTATATCATGGTTATCTCCTACTATGTAAGGTAAGTCATTAATGTATACAAGAAACAGAAAGGGGCCGAGAATTGAGCCTTGAGGCACGCCAATTTGTACCATCGACCTGGAAGAACTCATACTGTTAATGACAACTTTTTGCGTTCTCTTACTTAAATATGAAATAATTAATTTAAGACCATCACTTCTGACACCGTAGTGTTGAAGTTTCCTGATTAATGTTTCATGGTGAACACAATCGAAGGCTTTGGATAGGTTACAAAATATACCCAAAGCATCCTGTAAATTCTCCCATGCATTAAAGATATATTTAATCAGCTCAACACCGGCATCAGTTGTCAAGCGACTCCTTGTGAAACCAAATTGATAGTTATGGAGTAAATTATTTATATTAAAGAAATTTAACACTTGATCAAGAATAATTTTTTCAAAAATCTTACTAAGTGTTGGTAGTACAGAAATAGGTCTCAAATTGGCGGAGTCTAATGTACTACCAGATTTAAATAAAGGTGTTACTTTACTATACTTCACTAAATCAGGAAACACACCAGATTCGATACTAGAATTAAAAATAATAGCTAAATGAGGCGCGATTGTATCTATTATAGACGTAATAACTTTAACGGAAATCCCCCACAGATCCGCAGTTTTCTTAACATCAATAGTTTTAAAATATTTGTGGCTAACCGCTAAGGTAACGCTAAACATAGCGGTTAGCCACCGTAGAGTCTATATCACCTGAGGATGCCTCGTGTAAAAGCGAAACACGTGTCGTATTATTGTCAGTGGTGTGTCTTGCCTAGTGAATTGGTGTTGGGAGTAGCGGTGCTGGCACTAGTGGTGACGGGGACAGTGCACGCAATTGAGGGAGGGCAGGAGGTGCTCTTCATACTAGGTAAGACACATCATTTTATTTTATAACGTGGATATTTGTGAAGTAAATTTTTCTAAAAGTTTTTATATAATGGATTTCCGAAAAGTAACGCCTAATTCTATTAATTATATTTTACAATATCTTTTGATGATACTTTATGAAATATAAAATTCTTTGTACACACATTTACATTTTGTTTAAGTAATGATTCGGCGATGACAGGAGAAGAATTCAGCGACTTAGTGGTTAATATCGGAATATCAGTAAAATATTTCTCAAAAACGATTGCAACGTCCTGATCTGATTCGGTTAATTTGTTATTAACACTTAACTGGTAGTTTGAATTGCGAGACTTGATCTTAACAGTTTCGTTATTAATTATACTACATCTCATTTTAATTTTATTAGAAACCGTCTTAATTTTGTTGCTCAAATGCAAAGACTTGGCTGTGAAGCACACTCGTTTAAATATTTTTGAATATTTTTTTACATATTCCCTAAATTCGACGCTATGATTATATGACCTTTCATGGTGAAGATCATCTAACCTATGTCTGCTCTTATGGACTCCTACTGTCGCCCATTCATTAAATGACTTCCGACTGTTCAAGGAGAATGTTTTAGAAATAAAAGTATTATTAAATTCGTTGCAAATAACCTTAAATAATGTTCCATACAAAAAAATTGGATCATTTCGGTATGAAAGTGATGGAAGTTTCTTCACTATCTTACTTCTAAATTTCTCCAAGCGACGTGTATTTACTGGAACAAACACAACTTTCTCATCTACTTGCTTTTTGTTAACATAAGGTAACGAAACTACTTGTCCACAGTGATCAAAACTTTATTTTTGAATTATACATTTATGCAACGGCTTAAAATTTGTAAAAATGTTATCTATACATGTTGCACTAGATTGATCAATACGCGTTGGCTCTAAACATAAATTAAAAGACCATATGATTTAAACAATGATCTAAATTTAATATTGATTGAGGAAGCTTCTAGGAGATCGACATTAAAGTCTCCACATATTACAACAGATTTATTCTGTTTATTAAGGTTAGCAAAAACTTCCTCCATAATTTTTTCAAAAGTATCGTATATAGAACATAAGGGTCTGTATACGCTCACAACAATGAGGTGCTCAAACTCAACACATGCCATTTCTACAGTTCGCTCAACAGAGAGGCTCACAATATCTTTACTAATATGAAGGAGCCAAAATGTATGTAACATAAAACACTTATTAATGTATAACAAAAGAGTGCCATTATCGCCAACAAACTGTTGCACAGTTTGGCGATGTTTATTATTTTAAATGAGTGTATTTCATATCAATAAAAAAATTCCCTTAAGGCACCACCTTATTTTATTTCGGTAATAAACAAAATGTTACTAATTATCAAACTTTTTACAAAATTTTTACGGGGTTTAGCCATGCTGCGGCTATATTTACGTGGTGGAGCCAATCGGCAGCTAAATTATGGTTGTAGCACGAATGGGTTGGCTCTATCGGGCCACACTCTCACAGAATACCAGCGTAAAATAGCAACTCAATGCTGCTGTGTTTCGTATGGTGAATGTAGAGAACCGGAGACCCTTTTTACTTAAAACAAGGCATTCCCTCTAAGACCTCAGGGGTTTTGATTCTTAATTGAGTCACAGCGTCCACTTACAACCAGGTGACCCGTGTGTTCGTTTGTCACTCATATTCTATTTTAAAAAATACAAAAATATGTTTCCATACATTTTCTTCCGTATTTCCCCATCCAGTCACGGAGATAACCTTGCCAACAACCATATCTTCGATGTGAGCAATTTTAACTGGTTGAACGTGATCATTAAATTTCAGTGGCGTTTCGAGCTCCAGCAATTGAAAGTCGTAATCAAACGGATGGTCTTTTTTTTCTGCCGACCACATCCCATGAACGTAATTATTTTTCACAGCGATTCTAGTGCCTTGATTTAAATATTTTGAACCAACTCTTATATATGGCTTGGATCTGTGGATTAAAAAAATATAATATCTAAGCAAAAACCTCTAGATGGTAGAACTCCTTTAGGCGCGTATCGATTACGCGCTCCTGGCGCGCGCGCTATGCATGACCGCGCCGACCAGTGCGTTCCGCGAAACGCACTCCAAATGTTCGAAGTGTATCAAACATATGTAATGTATATATTATGTTTGTAAACTGCCTCCACTACACAGGAGAAAATCCCAGTGAGGGGGTAAGGTTTTTTTAAAAAAAAAAATGAAAAACCACTTCAAGTGGAATGTTAATTTGCTGGTTTCTTCAGTTTTAAAAAAAAATATAATATCAGAAAACTATAGTATTTTATTTTGTGAATCTAAGTCAGAACGTTTTGCTATCTTCGGTTCAATCACCACTTATCATCAGATGGGATAGAAGACATAGGCTTATAATAAGGTACGTGAGGGTAATATGGTCACCTTAAGCTTTGCCGCCCTATAAAACAAAAACTATGAGGAGGACAGAGACAAAAACACAAAGTCGTATACTATATATACATCTAAGCGCACCTGGAACGCGCGGCAGCCATCTCAGTGTATGACCGTTCAACATGGATGTAGATCGTATACGAACAACTGCCGCTTTCATAGCATCTTTTCTGAGCGCTTTATTGTGGTAACTCTGGTTATCCATGGCTCGGAACGCAACAAACACACGCATGATAAAAACAACCGTCCCAACTGGCGCGCGCGCCAAATCTTAAACTACTTTGATGCGCGGTAAAAAACTGATACCAGATGGAACGGCCCGCTCCACGTTTGAGGGTTCCAATGAACAATTTGGCGCGCGTTCCAAGATGGTGTCCAATTCACGCAGCTGGAACGCGCGCCAATGTTTGACCTTTTGGAGCGCATAATCGACACGCGGCTTAAGGGTTCATCTGCGTAGGTACCACTTATTACCTATTTCTGCCACCAAATAGCAGTGCCTGCATTGCTGTGTTCCGGTCATTAAGGTAGGTATAGAGAACATAATATTTTCTCTCCTTCTCTCTTTCTCTCTCTCTCTCTCTCTCTCTCTCTCTCTCTCTATATATATATATATATATATATATATATATATATATATATATATATATATATATATATATATATTATAGAGTATAATTAAAGGCTGTGAAGCATTCCATCTTAGTCGTCAGGGCTGACAACGCATCTGCAGTGTCCATGGACTGCAGAAGTCACATCGTGTAGATTGAAAGTTAGTTTGTCACTTTAGTTTAAAAAAAAAGTATTAACGACAGCCCACACACAGCTAATGACGGATAATACTATTGATATTATCTGTCTACGTTGTTAAAATCTCTAATGAAAATAATTTGATGTTACTTGACATAAAATGAATAAAATATTGTTGTTTTTGTACTTTTCTTAAAACATACTTAACAAAAAAAATATATTTGAAAAATTTTAAAAACAAACTAAAATTATCATGAATTCCTATTGTCTGCGGTATGGTGCTAAGAACGCTGTCTGCGTTAGCCAGCGTTTGTACTACTACACTAAAGTACTAAAGCCAGTGCTCGACTAAATGCTAAATGATGGTAAAATGATGGTCGTTACCATCATTTAGTCGAGCACCGTTGTAAGTGGTGATGTAGCCAAAGATCTGCAGCAGCACCTCGCTGCAGCTATATTATGGTTGTGGCACGAACGGGTCACCTTGACCGGGTAAGGACAGCAGCTGAATGGTTAGTGTAAACAAAAATCAGTTATTGTGTTTTTCTGTCAGGCTGGCTTTTTTAAGTCTGGCCTCGGAAAGCTTGTTAAGCCGTAGGTCTTGCCTTGATCTTTTTATTATCGTGTCGAACTGCCCTCCCATCAGACTATGAAAGTGATAAGGAATAGAGTGCACCTATGTTTGCGCACACTCGTATACTACAATTCTGTACTGCTTCGATGGCTAGTCTCCGTTGAGAATGGCCACCGTGACCGAAATTCGATCTGGAGAACATTAATAATATTTAAGTAGTGTACGCAATAATTTCGAATTGGAACTTCACCGTTCCCGGGCCCCAAGATCCGAGAGATGCTACAGCAAATGTCACAAATATATAGCTTTTTATCAGTAACTCATATTTACGCCGTTTACATTTAGTCTAAACTTATTCCTAGTCTCTGTCAAACTTAACGATTAAAAATTTAATTTGATTTAAATAAATATTTATATTGCGTCTAACTGACCCACGAATCGGTAAAGCGGGATCTTTCATAATACTCTTAATCCCTGGACAATACAGAAGTAACAAAACCACATACAATTTGCAAATAAAAATTAACTTACATTTAATTAATTAATTTTTTATGGTCAAGCTTTCTGAAGTAAAGTTAAAAATTTCTATACGTGTGAATACTTATTCTGATAACGCACATAAGGGAAAGATTTTTGTTACATGTAGTATCTGTTAATACAACTCACCCACAATGCCCAGCTGTGATCACCCATTTTTTATCGATTATAGCTCCACCACAGTTACTGCCATACGCCACATGGTATGGATATAAACTGATATCGACTTCATCTCCACCGACTATTTTATCATCACCATAACTTAAGGCCTCATCATCATATCTCTGTTCAGCATCAATGTCTCTTTCTCCACTGTTATAATCAAATTTATCAATATCAGGAATTTCTGTAGGGTCGTTGTAATCTCCTATATTCAGTTTGTAAAAGTCATTGCTATTTCTGTTCAACTCTTTTCCGTTTTGATATTTCGCATATTTTGCTGCATTATATCCTAGCATTTTTTGGAATGTTTCCGAAAATTTTGAAATTGGTATCACAACGACATCATATTCTGAAAAATATTTTTATTGGTCATTAGTGGACATTCGTCTTTTTGGTTACCTTTCTTGAAATATTATATAATTATTTTTTACATAAACATTAATTCTACAAATTTAATAAAACAAATTTTAACAATTTTATCAAGTTATTTTTTATTCCCGACATTTCATGTTTTCTGTTCCCCTGGTATTATTGGTGGTGCAAAGACAATTAACGTCGAAAATTCAAAGTAAATGAAACGTAAAATTGGATTAAATACGCAAGATAAGTTTTATTTAATTGCTCAAAATATAATATAGACATCAAATAAACCTTTAGATGGATTTTTTAAAATTTTGTAAGCTTAATAAAATCGATAATGCTAAAATGTGAGAAATATTATTGCTAATCTAAAAAACCTAAAATACTGAGACCGGGACCGTAGCTTAGCACTGCGATAGTCATTCACTTGTACATAGTGAAGCTTTACGAAATGGGAAATATATTTAGCTGAAGAATTTTCAAGCATTCATAGCAATGGCCTATCATATTTTTCATAACAATTATCGGTAATTGCTATCGATTATCAATCAAGTGAAACAAGGAGTCTGTTGTACAGATTGCAAAATGTTTTAGGATCTATAGAGATTTCTAATTCAACGTGATAACAAGGTGGACTCAAATGCAGCATCTAAAGCCAAAATATTTTTACCACGTTTTTAACAAGTCACTTTCTTGTTTGTCTGTCTGTTTGTTTATCGTTCTGGGTGGAATCCTGCAACTCAAATTTAGAGTACTTCCCGATGAGCTAGAGATTTAAAATTTCAAACATAGCTCAGAATTGGATGACAATGTAGGAATATGAAAAAAACGCGGTATATTAAATATCGTACGTATAGTAACGTAGTACAAAATTTAAAACAAAATCTCTTGTTTCATAATAAGCAACACGTTGATAGGTCCTCCTAACATTGGCGAAAAAGCGATACATTTAAAAAATCTGAATTTGTAATACAAGAAGGATAGTTATACATCGGTTAGAAAAACGATATTTTTTTAACAATTTAGGATATGACAACACTCGAGTATAAAGGGAAGGATCTTAGAATCTTACATGCGAGCCTTACAAGGAAAGCAAGCGTGCCGAGGCAGCGCCGCTGCGGTAAGCGAAGTGGTTCGTTTTCATTCAACTTTATCAGTTTTCAGCTAAAGAGAATACAGAGAAATCAGTTAATAAAATTTTGTCACATAATATATTACAATACAATTTTAGGCATATAACTATTACAGAACATTCGTCAACCGTAGCGACAAGCTCAGCTTAAATTAAAAGAATACAAAGCATAAAAATATGTCACCAGTTACGTACGATTTGATTTAACCGACACTAAAGAGCAGAATACTAAAAGACCTGTGAAGTATAATTTACACATCGTTAACAACAGCTATCTCACCGCACGCATGACGTATTACTGCTTAGACAAAACGAGTAGTTGAGACCTTTATAATTTTTACAGCGTAATTTAATGGTTCGATGTGAAAGTTAATTTGTCGTGAAATTACTAATTTAGCTTCTGCTGAAATTATACTCAGGTATTGATTTCTAAGAAACGTTAATAGAAATACGCGATTGTAATTCGAGATTCATCGTGTACTACGCGCATTATTTGAAATTGAAACTTGTACATTCAGTAATTGAATTTCTTTAATTTTTAAATTGCATGTTTTATAGCGGCATTACGATAAATGAATAACGTTTTTATTGATTCCGATTTGACACGGTTTGAACTGTTATGCTTTTGTGCGTCTCAAAGAAGCGTCTGTAATTATTTCTTGAATTGTAATTGTGTTATTTCTTGAATACTCATTTTGTGTGCCTTTTCTATACAAATAAGAGTGACAAATGAGCACAAGGTCTAACTGATCGAAAATAGGTGAAATCTTTTCTCGAACAAGTTCTCCCGTTAGTAGTCCAACCGTAATATATTATTATACAGACAGTGTAATAATATTAATCGAAGCGTATTTGTCAAAAGGAGTTGATTAATTAAATAGAAAAAAATATTAAAAATACATTGATTAATTAAATAAGTCAATAATTATTTGATTCAAGGCAGAATATGGCTTTGATACAGGCTTTTATCTCTCTTTCTCTCAGATTAATGTACTTTCTCATTTAGGAGTCTAGTCACTGCTAGCTTTAAAGATGTCTAGAGTGACTCTTTGTCGCAGTAACATTTTGCAGAGGGCATGTCCATGTTCATGACCAAAATTAAATAATAATATCCAACTGTAGCGTGCCTTCACCACATCTCAAAAAGTGTAAGAATTAATTTTTGTCCTTAGTTCTTTTACTTTGAGAAACTTCTCGGTTTCTCTTTTCTTCTTAGCATAACCTTTGATCCTCCAATTGTCGTTAAATTAAGCAAAGGAATAGTCTTAGTATGATACCTAAAAAAAATGTAATTAGATCATGGCGCAATAACAAAATGTTATTGAGTAAAATGCATAATTGCAGAATTAGTTTAAGTGTTTAGTGATTTTATATTTGGTACTAATATAATTAATGGATTCAATTAATGGATATCGACAAGGTAATTACGTTTTAATCATAACCAACTTAAAGCTGCTATTATCTCATTGTCAACAACACGAATTCAATGGGAAGAACTACCAATTCTAATTAACTTTGTCTCTTATGATTAGTGTTGGCGACGCGCTTAAAAAATAGTTTATCATTTTCATTCTTTACAAAAATAAATAATTTTACATTTTGATGATATTGCTATTAAAATGTATAAGGCACTTCGAATAAAGAGATAATCTATGTTAAAAGTAAATAGATACAATATAATATCCAACGAAAGTTTGGTGTTCGACTCCCGGTCGAGCGTTAATTCCATAAAAGTTTATTTTTAGATTAATTTAGAGACATGTGTTACATAGTAATTAGTTATGCAATACGAGTTAAAGTATTATATTAAATTAGATACTTATTTTAGATGAAAATATATTTTGGCCTTGTGATAAGAGATAAGATTCATTATGGCTAATAAGGATAGTATATGTAAACAAATAATGTTTCATAATGAACAATTGATGTATGTATGATGTAATTTAGACAAGGAAAGCACTAGCCTCTTACCGATGTTAGGTCGTGTAGAAATTGGTTGTTCATGTTGTGCGAGATCTAAACAGAGTACAAATAATGTAAAATAAAAATGAAAAATAAACTTTATTAATTTGCGAAAATTTCTATAATGTATGTAGATTTAAGTAATAAATGTTTCAGGATTACTGTGAGTGCTAAAAATAATAGTTTTGTGTTAAAAATTTCTAAATTTGTGCTTAAAATATTGAAATAATAATAGAATTATATAAGAAAATTAAATTCGAAATAAAGTGAAAAATAACTTTAAAATTGTGATTTAAACTATTACATTAGTGAAGTTATTCATGTTTATTAATAAAGATTGTTATTTTAACCTAGTGTGTTAGACAATTAAGATTTCTAACTTTAAAAATATTCTGTAAAATTGGTATATTTTGTTGAATAACTTAATATGTTTTTATGTGATAATGATGTAATGTATGTCATAATAATAAGATTTTGTGTATATTATAAATAAAAACGTGTAATCATATGTTTAATATAAAGAAAGATATGGGGTAAATTACAAGGATGGAATGGTGAAAATCAATGTTAAGTTATGTCGAAATGGCGCGCGGTACGTGGTTCTCTTTCGCGTATAGCTTGCAACTAGGATAGTAAACTGGTAATTTGGCATTTTCGTTCGTTGGGGACCAGCTACCAGTTTCTATAAACTGGTAGCCGGTCCCCAACGAAATGCCAAATTACCAGTTTGTTTGTATATATATTGTATTATATAATATTGATTGAAACTATTTTCAATCAATAGAAAAACAAAACCGATAGGGAAGTGATAGGATAGTAGTGAAAGTTTTAACGTTGCACTCTTATGGGGAAATTTAGAAGATAAGTCACTGTTTTATTTCCAAAAGCGCCTTCCACCAGTCACTTTATATAGCCCATTTCAGTTACGTAAAGACCGGGACCACTTCAAGAAGACCCGTAATCTTAGTCGTTTAACCTTTCTTTTCAGAAAGGGCGACAGACGTTCTTGTGTAACACTCCTTCACGGGGGTCACGTCCAGCTCGTTACTCCTGAACACAAAGTGGTTTGATGTAGGTTTCGGGGTATAACGTCAATGAATGACTAACCCCTGTTTGATTAGACGCTTTACAGTTGAGGGATTGTTGCTGAGCGACGGGCTGCACCCTTTCAATCAGAGTCTGCTATAAGAGACTTCAGATGATGTTACCTTAGCCAAATCAGCGACCGATTGTGAAAACTATTATTACGATGGATCCTACGTAAACAGGCGCAAATTTAAGGTATACCTAACGAGAAGATGTATCGTAATTTCCCGAACGCTGCCCAGCCGAATTGAATCTGTCGATTGACCTCTCCGTCGAAGTTGGACTTACCTAGTCAGACTATTTGTCCCAGGTAAACATACTCGTTAACACCTTCAAGCTTAGTGCTCTCAACAACTACCGGCATATGTGTGACATGGACGTTACACATGATTTATGTTGTGTCTATGTTCATCTTAAGACATATCCGTTGGGAGGCACTATTGAGGCCATTGAGCATAGTGCTAAGATCCTCCAGCGATTCTGCCATAAGGACTATATCGTCCGCAAATCGAAGGTGAGTGATGTACTCGTTATTGATGTTTATACCGTATCCTTTCCAGTCCATTAGCATAAAGACGCTTCCAATGCAGCTGTGAAGAGTTTCGGGGGCATGACGTCACTTACAATTCTCTGCAGTTTGATAGGTTTCGTACTCTGATTCTGTACTCGGATATCCATTGTTGCCCTACTGTACAAGCACTTTAGCACTCCACTTTCACGTGGTAGAGCCATGCTGCAGCTATATTAATAGTATAGTTGTAGCACGAATGGGTCGGCTCGACCGGGGAAGGACCACGATCTCACAGAAAACCAGCGTAAAATAGCAGCTTAATGCTGCTGTGTTTCGTATCGGTGAGTGTAGAGAACCGGAGACCCATTTTACTGGAAAAGAGGCATTCCATCTTAGTCCTCACGGATGACTACGCATCTGCATTTTGATTCGCAAACGAAGATAGATGTAGACATCTATGGGCCGCAGCAACTACTTACCATCAGGTGGACTGCGTGCTCGTTTGTCACCCTTGTTCTATAAAAAAAACTCCAATATATCGATAGTCAACTTGGCACCGTTTAAAGGACTGTTGCTCCGCCCAAATTTCAACGAAAACAAAGGCTTTCTCATAGTCTAAATACGCAATGCATAGTGGCAGATTGTCCTCCTTGGTCTTCAGTACAATTTGCCGAAGGGTATGTATGTGGCCTATGGTGCTAAAGCATTTTCGGAAATCGGCTTGCTCCAGAGGCTGAAAGTCGTCGAGTCTGCATGCGAGACGATTCGTAATGACTCTCAAAACCAGCACGTAGATGTGGCTCAGAAGGGAAATCGGTTTGTAGTTCTTCAAGAGAGCGTTATCGATTTTCTTGAAGAACAAGAGCCACAATGTAGGATAGAATTTAAGAGCGTATGAAGGACTTCAAGTACCGGTTTTTCACCCGCTTTCCACTCCACTGTAATTCCATTCTCGCCCGGGGACTTGTCGATTTAAAGGTGCTGGAGAGCCATTCTAATCTCGCTCAGACTGACGTAAGGAATATCATCGCAATAGTGTTGGATAAGACTTGCTCCTGGATCGTTACTTACACTTGCATGTGGCTCCAACAATGATGTGTACAGCTGTCCATTGTAATGTGTCATCTAATTCGTGCGGAGACAAGTGGGGGTGCATGAATAGTCCGCGCGGCTGACGAGTGATCTCAGTGTGACCATGAAGGCCCAATCGCCTAAATGCATTTCTGGATCTATATTAAATAATTCAAAAAGCATACGTTATGCAAATTATAGCTAATAGCTTTATATAAGTTTGTTAGTAATTATTAAATGTTAACGGTTGTTCCCCTTATATTGGGTAAGTGTGAGCAAATTTATAATATATGTATTACAATAGTATAACAAATATGTTACTTTGATTTTTGAAATTTAGACAATTGATACTTAGTGCGTAATTTAATTTTATGTCACATGCTAGTTATTCTATCACGTAATTGTGTATGTCTTTTCATAGTAGATGCTTAGTTGATATAACTTTATTTTCTTGCCTCCGTTCTGGTAGCATGTACCACCACACCAAACTTATCAGTTTTATTCGCCTAGTTGATTCTGGCGGTGGGCGTATGATATTACCTACTTTGGAGGCAAGGCTCATGAAAGATTTCGACTGTGTGTTCCAGGGAACCTCGCTGGGGCTGTGACATCCTTCTTATTATTTTATT